TCATATGCACCGAAATGCTTATCAAATTTAATAGTTTGATACATTCTGTAAATTAAATAAATTTCATTGCAAGTATTAATTAAGATACCAGTAATTTCTCCAAAAATTGGTAGATTTGTTCTATTAATCATTATTAGATCTTGTAACTTATAAGTCAGATGTCCCAGGTTGACCTGGTTACACAAATATACTTGTTGAAAATCTTCTACAATTATATTTTCAAAATCAATATTATGAAATTCAGGTAATGCATGAATATGTCCGAACGAGCTATTTTTTTTATTAAAATAAATATCACTGCAAAAACCTTTCTTCTCTTTGAACCGGTGACATAATTTTAGCTGATTTTTTGTTGCTAATGTCTGAGTTATATTTACTCTAGAAGACACCACATTAGCAGAAACTTTAAACTCTTTATGTTTTGATTCAAATCTAAGAGTTGATAAATTTATAACAGGTCCAACTTTTTGTATTATATAGGGATAATGAAGCAGAATATGATGCTTTGGTTTTAGTGGTTTTTGAAAAAGATTTTTGTATAATTCATGATGCTCTTTAATTACATTTTCTAGAATTTTAGAGGCACCCTCTGAAGACTCAGTTGCCAACACTCCCAGCTAGCACATAACGTTGCCAAGACTTTCGGCGTTGTTGCATTAAGGGAACGTAATAACATTTCTATACAACGTAAATGCAACGTTCATGAGAAGTTGTTGAAGGAAATCAAAACCTCGCAAAACTTCTATTTGTTATTTACCTAGTTAACCTACCTGTTATGTTAAGACAACGTAATAAAGTAATCATGGAGGAAGGATAATTAAAAGTAATTTGCAAAAAGAACAGGAACTGTTTATGTCAATTGTCACTTGCCAATTTTTCTTCTCATATGTCATGTTTGTTTTTTTTTAATTTGCAGAATTTCTTTTATAATTATTATTAAAAACATTGAGTAGAAGTGGTAAGAATCCTCTATAAAATAGAAAACTATTTTCTGAACCATTTTCTTCGTTTTAGATTACAATGCCTGTTGTAAATTTTATCAAAATGTCCGGGAATATTTGGATCACATTTTTGTAGTTCTCGACTTGGAGTTGGTTTATAAAATTATAAAAATGTCCGGAAATATCTGATAACTTTGTTAGAAGCTAGATAGAAGGACTTGGTTTATGAAATTATAAAATGAGGACCTCTAAAAATACTTGAAATACCTTATGAAAGAGATACAAAACTAAGTTGCCACATTACTGGCCTATTTAAGGATGTAAGTGGTGGCAGTAATTCCTTTTTCCCTAGTTGGCTCTTAAAATTTAATGATTCGGAGAGTGAAAGGATTAATTAAAGTATATCTAACTGTGATTTGATATCTCTTTTAGCTTATGCACAATTTATCCTGTGGTTTATAATCCCCTACAAATGGTTATTAAAGCTGTTAATGTGTTGATGGTATTAACGATACGATACAATTTATCTTATGGTCCCCCTTTTAGTACTAGAAGGTGCACAGGTGAGTTTACATGTTTAATTTTTCAAGTTTATCTTAGGAATTATTTTAGGAATGTATCAAAACGAGCCACTACTTCTAAATTTGGAGAAATACTTGTGGCTGAGAAGTTATAAATCTTACTGCAATCAAACTGGTGATCGTTCAGGATGCGGTAATAACTGATGATGGCTTCTGGAGGTGCCAAAGCCTCAGCAAGGGGCTGCAAGTGAATCATAGCTATATAAATTGAGATTCCTATGCATGTCGCTAACATGTGTGTTTTAGGTAATATTTTAGTTCAACAAAAGACCCACTAAGTTATTATATACATAATTATTCATAAGATAATTACAGTAAATGATAAATAAAGGCCTAAAATAAAATAACACTATTGGTATGTGATTTTAGGGGAGCATGGAGAGGTTGAACTTATCACAGATTTAAGGGCCCTTCTTTTACAAGACACAAAATCCACAATATGTGATTCCACTTTACTAAGAATGTAGCAAACTTCTGGGTAATAATATACTTAATCGAACTAAAAATACATTTTAAAAATATTGTATTTTAGATTTCCTTTGTACCTGAAAACATTCTAAGAATTTTAGAAGCAAAATAAATACTACAGACTTGTCTAAAGAAGAATAGCTATATGACATCTGAAGTTTTATAAAAAGTGAATCTACATGGTACGTCTATATTAAAAAAAAACATCAGATTCAAGCAAGTGCCAAACTAGAAGAAAATTTGAGAAAAATCACAGAAGATGCCCTCGAGCATACATCAGAATATCTTGCTAAAAAACATGAGTTGTTTTTTTATAAAATCTTCATACTAACTTGGAAATCCATAATTATGCATAAAATTTGTGAAATTCTAAAAAAAAAAAATTAGAGGTTTTATTTAAAACAACAAAGTAAGACAAAATTATCTAAAAATAAGTGCAACGATTTAAACTTGAGTATATTTTTTTACTTTCTATATAATTTCCTTCAATAATAGTTAAGCAAGTAGGTC